TAGTTGAACACAAACAGTCAAAAGCATGCGTAAGCGTAGTCCTGATCGATTGGTGATAAAATTATTGAAATTGGTTCACGGGCAGCTGAGTTATTAACGTTCAAAATCTTTCATAATTTCATAACATGTTCAATTTTCAGTTTTCACAAAGTGTACCCCCATATAGACATCACAGACGTAGTCCTACACAGAAAAAAGTTTTCATGTAGTTTCTATTGGGAATGTACATAATATTTTTCCATTAACAAGACCAATGCTATCTATCCCAAGTAACAATTTTGGTTTTATGAGGGTTCTGTAGACCATGATTTAGACTTGTAGAATGCTATAAAACCGCGATAAAACCTGCAATGTTACTTGGGATATGAATTTCACATTACATTCATGTCATACATTAGTTCTATATGATAAATCACTTAAATTTTATTTGACATATAAGGTTCATTTGATTTTGTGGTGCAATTCCCAATTATGATATCACATGAAAGTTATGTGAAATTCTAATGAATATTTTCCATTGGATATGTGATTTATTCTTTGCGTGTACGTCAAAAAAAAATTAAATGCATTTTCTCAGTGCATTTTTTGCTCTGTGTAGCTTTAAGTCACACCTTGTACCAATACATGCATGTATACATGAAGGGTTTTGTTCTGTTTTGTTGTTCGCTTCGGTTTCGCTCAAATACACACTCCTGGCTTGAGAAAATTATTCCAGAAGTTCATCGACCAAGAACGCGGAAAAAAATCCGTCGAAATTTCCCGTGGCAGCATTAGAAATCGCGAAGAACAAATGAAAACCGAAAACGCGAGAACAAATGAAAACACCTTCGAAAATCCATATGCTGCCAACGGAGGTTCCCAGAGACTTTCGACGAAGTTTCCACGCATTATCGGTGAATGAAGTTCTGCACGATAACAGTGAAAATATTGGATGCTGCAGACGGAAGTTCCACGGAACTTCGGAACGATAGACGATGTTCTGCGTGATTTCGGTGATTTTGGAAGCTGCCAGTGGGAGTTTCTGGAAGTTCAAACGGATTTTTCTAGCCTTCTAGGTGGAGGAGGTTCTGCATGATTTCGAAGACTGCCAACGAAGGTTCTAGGAACTTTGTCTAGTCCTGATATAGGGGTTCATCCACCAGGATTACGTTTTACTACATACATTACATTGGGGCCACATTGAGTCTGTTGATGTTGTCAAATAAATAAATTACAATTACATAAAGTATGGCACATTAAAAGATGCCAAATTTCGATGGCGTTTTCTTGCGATGTTGGTGGATGAGGTCCAATTCGGTTTCGGTGGAGATTTATGATACTGCCAGCGGAGGTTTAAGGAAATTTTAACGGAGTTTTCACGCGTTCTTAGTGGAGGAGGTTCTGCACAATTTTGATTGAGGTTTCTGATTCTGCCAGTGGATGATCCAGATTCGTTGGAGTTTCGGTGGTGATTTTCAGTGCTGCCAACGGAAGTTTCAGGAAATCTGTACGGTATTTTCTCGGGTTTTTTAGGTGGAGGAGCTTCCGCATGATTCCGGTTCTCGGCGGAGCAGGTTTTACGTGATTTTAATGTTAGTAGTAGAAATTCCTGAGGAAGTTTCTGCACGATTTCGTTGGAGATTTTCTTTGCTGCCGGAGAAACTTGCAGGGAGATTTTCGTGAATTCTCTACTCCGAGTTTTCTTTTCATGTTGTGTTTGTTTATCTTCGGCTCGATGCATGTATGTATGTATAGGTATCACCAGAAAAGCGCATGCTTTGTTTTGATGTTCACATCCCACTGAATGGTTGATGCAAACGATGGAAATTAAATGCATGTGATTTAAATTAAATGCATATTCAATGCGAGATTCAATGGTCATTCTAAAAGTGAGACTCCCCTAGGTGTCCCATCGATCTTTTTCACGTTTGACAGCTTCGCTGATGCAGCCAACTACGATGCGTGCAGCGACCGACATCAGCCATTTTGTGGAAGATAACCTTTTTTGCTGTTTTACAACGCACTGATTACGGCACTGAAAAGCCGTCCCGTCGAAGAGCTCAAGCTAGAGTATGTAAAGGGCAAGCTGACGAGTGGAGACGGAGGTGCGAAAATAATACGTTGGACAAGGTGTTGAAAGTGTCGACCCGCAGTGACGATAAGATGAAGAATAAAATGTGTCATTATTGCAAGCAAGAAGGGCATTTTAGAAGAGATTGTCCCAAAGCGAACAAGGAACCGCAAGAAAAGCAGAAGTTCTCCCAGGAGAAGTCGCAGAAGGCGAAAGTGTCAGTGAAAAAAGAAGAAGAAGACTTCGAAGTGTGTTTTTCAATGACGAGCCTTGAAGAAAACTGTTACAGTACTAATGCAGAAGAGTCTGGAAGCGATAAGTGGATCTTGGATTCCGGATGCACGAAGCGTATGACAGGTCGAGTGGATTTACTGAGTGCGTTGGTTGATTCTAGCGAAAGCGTCTGATGGATGGAAACCAAATTTCAGCTAAAAGTATGGGCTCCTGCAAGCTGACTGTGATGGCAGAAAGCGGTGAATCGAAAATCATATGCATTAAAAATGTCCTGTTTGTTCCTGGCTTGACTGGAAACCTCTTATCCGTGAGTCGGATCGTCGATGAAGGTTTTCTGGTGAGCTTTAACTCCGGCAGATGTCAGATATCAAAGGATGGCAAGGTGGTAATCACTGGTGAACGAAAAGGCGGTTTGTACTGTATCAAGCATGTGGTTCGGTTTTGTCAGTGGTGGGACATTCAGACTTGTGCCAGCATCTTTGGCATCGGCGTCTAGGTCACCAGCACCCGGATTCAGTGAAGCGAATTTTGAGCGAAGAAATGGGAACGAACTTGAAGGTAACCGACTGCCGTATACGATCGGTATGCGTTGTGTGCTGTGAGGGGAAGTTGGCCAGGGCGCCATTTCCAAAATCGCAATCAAAGTCACACAAAATTCTTGATGTGGTGCACTCCGACCTTTGTGGTGCTATGGAGGTCGCTACTCCGAGTGGTAACGTCTACGTCATGACGATGATAAATGACTACAGTAAATACACGGTTTGCTGAAGGCAAAATCTGAAGCTTTTGAAAAGATTCGTCATTATGTCAGCTTGGTGCAGAACCTGTTCGGCATAAATCCGAAAGTTTTGCTAACGGTAGTGGAGGCGAATATTCGAGCACGAGCTTCCAGTGTTCCTACTGGAGAATGGAATCACACTTCAGCAAACAGCGCCGTACAGTCCACAGCAGAACGGCAAGTCGGAGAGAGCTAGCCGTACGTTGATGGAAATAACACGTTGCCTATTGTCCGAAGCAAAAATGGAGAAGAAGTTCTGGCGTGAGGTGGTGATGACTGCATGCTACATCTGTAACCGTCTTCCGTCTGCTACAATGGAATACAACACTCCCTTCGAGTTGTGGCATGGACGACAGCCTAAATTCAACCATATGCGGGTGTTTGGTTCGACTGCTTGGGTGCATGTTCGTAGGCTACGCGGAGGACAGGAAGGCGTATCGTTTTGTGGACACGGACGACAATCACGGCTCTTATTATGAGTATCACGAGAGTATGCGAGAGAGGATGCAACCAAGAGAAGCCGATGACCCTTATTACCGATGTCACTTCACAGTGAAGTGACAACTAATCACTCACGGTGAAGTGATTCCCTTTTGATTTACACGGCAATCATTTCACGGTGAGTGACCCTTATTACGGGTGTTACTTCACGGTGAAAACGAAGTGAAGTGACTAGTTGTCACTCACGGTGAAGTGATTGCCGTGCAATCAAATGCGAATCACTTCACCGTGAGTGATAAGTTGCCACTTCACCGTGAAGTGACATCGGTAATAAGGGCCTTCACTTCGTTTTCACCGTGAAGTGATACTGAAGTGATAGGGTCGATATCGAGGTAACACTGGATAACCGTAAGAAGCAAGGAGAGAGGTAAGAAAATTTCTAGGATGACGTGATCGATCCGGAACAAGAGGCAGATGGCAACCTTCTGCAAATGTCCAGTTACGACAGTGCATCGGAGGGAGATTTTTCGGGAGATTCTTTTGAAATGTTCAGGGGATTTCCTACCGAGCCTCGATCAATCAACCAGTAGAAAGCAATCATCAGTCACGTTGTCTTCAATGGAGGCTGAATACGTTGCATGAAGCGAATCTTGTCAAGAGATCATCTGGCTCAGATCACTCTTCCGCAATCTTGGAGAAAAGCAGAACCAGCCAACGATTATGTTTGAGGATAACGAAAGCTGTATAGCTTTCGTGAAGTCGGAGCGGTCATCTCGTCGGTTCAAGCACGTGAATACACGAGAAAAGTTCGTTCAGAATCTCTGCAACCAAGGAACGATTCAGTTGAAGTACTGCCCAACGAAATCTATGGCAGCCGATATTCTTACAAAACCTCTAGGACCTCAAAAGCTTCGTCGTTTTGCTGAGATGATGGGATTGCTTGTTGTTTCGTAGTTCTGCGGCTCACACTGAGGAGGAGTGTTGGTAGTAAGTGTGTGCCCCATCGATCTTTTTCACGTTTGACGCAGCCTACTACGATGCGTGCAGCGACCGACATCAGCCATTTCGTAGACTGATGCATTTTAGAGAGGGTCTAGTATAAGAGAGAAGCGGACTGGCTGGTTTTGACCAAACGAACTGTCAAAGCCAGAGCCAATCTAGCAGCGCCTATCTTGATTGTATTGGCAGTGTAGCTAGAAACCACCCAGGCATAGGTTGCCAAGGCAGTTTATTTTGAATCCGCTCCTCTCTTATACTAGACCCTCTCTAAAAAAAATAATTTTTTACTGTACTACCGGAAGAGAAAGATGTTCAATAAAGTTTCTTTTAAGTTGTTCATTAAACCATGTGCGTTAAGTTATTCTTTTATCAAATCAATTCCTTCAGTTTCCTCGTCAGTCAACAGTTCATATAAATTAACCCTCAAAAAAATCTAGACGTAACTTAAGGATACACTTCTTGAGAACTAAATAGATTTTCAATCCATATTTTTTTAAGGAATATATAAGGTAGCTGCAAACCATGAAATGCTAGGAATTCCAAAGGAGTTTGCTGCTAACAAGGTTCTACCTTTCCTATGGCCCTTGTCGATTGAGCATGGTTTAACGTCACAACAGTACAATGTAATTATGGCATTCGTAACCGAGCTATCTAGCAAAGTACAGGCAGAACACATGAGAAAACTTGAACAACTGAACACAGGGGGCTCGGACAGCAGTACATTGCAGTACAACATTTTGGCATCATCGAAGACAGAAAGTTTAAGTTCAGACGACAATCCAATTGATATAATCACCAAAGATTTCGTCGACAAATCCAAAATTGAAAAACCTCCATCTAGGCCACCGACGCTGAGCGAGATGAAACCGTTGGAAAACAGGTAACGTTTTAACATTTTAAAATTTTAGAAGGCACATTTTTATCGAAGCACTTTTCTTTTGCCTTGCAGTACCTCGAAGATGAATGCATTGGGGCCTATCAATCCGTCATTTTCGTTACCCACCCCGTCAGCTCAATTTGTGCCACCATCCACATTCCAGAAGATGCCGATGTGGCAACAGCAGCGAACCAATGCTCATTACAATCCAACCAAGGCATACATGAATGGAAGTCAGTCGTTTGATCACTTCCAAGCACTTCTACCACCTACGAATGGCAACAATTTTAACAATAATATTCCATCAAAAACCCCACTTCTACAGCCCATGAGCACCTCTCGGAGCAATTGCACTGGTTCTAGTCAATCCAGTAATATATTGACGAAAGAAGACATACTTGAATTTTTGAAATAATTGATGTAAACGTGGTACCGTAAGGTCACCATCCACCGCTCACGTAGTCTCCCTTCACCGACCGCTCACTGTATAATTGTTTTTATCATTTTTCTCATAACTTGCATATTGTAGCAAATTATGATCAATGATACTACTGGTATTAATAGTAGATATATTGTTGGTATTTGTTGTAATTGTATGTATGTTTGCAGTGAGCGGTGAATGGTGACCTTACGTTAAATTGCAGTACTTTTAGTTGATTAGGACCATTTAACTGATAGAGTCGTTCGAGTATAATACATTCCATTCGTGTCAATATGTCATCCAACTAAGTATTGTTTGTTGAACGTTCATTTCTCTGTACGTAGGTATATTATGTATCACCTTCAGGAAAGTCTCATCCTTCAATGTAGAGCATCCCCAGTTCTTACCTTGTCCGTTATAACCACAGTTCAGTCGAGGACATTTGCAGGAGGATATAATAAAATGTTTTTACGAATCAATGCGTAGATCGCCGAACCAACTAAAATATGTCAAATGATCCCAAGTCTGAAATAAAACGTAGAAACGTATGAAATAAAACGTAAGGGGCCTCCCTTAGCTCAGTAGGTAAAGGCGCAGCTACAAAGCAAAACCATGCTGGAGGTGGCTGGGTTCAATTCCCGGTCCGGTGTAGGAATTTTTCGGGTTGGAAAATTTGTCGACTTCCCTGGGCATAAAAGTATTATTGGACTTGCCACACAATAATACCAATGTAAAAATGATACAGGCATCGAAAACTCTCAGTCAGTTTGAAATGCGAAGAAGAAGAAGAAACGAATTATCTACCTAGATATAAAACAAAATTTGCATCTAAAAATCTATTTAAGATGTAGGTATTGCAGATTGCGAGCCCTCCAGTGATTTCATTGTAAGTAGAAGTGAAACATTATAGTAAATTCATTGTAGAAAACACAAAAAAAACAGTCAATCGCAACTGTGCAGCTGTAACTTATCTTATTACTTTTACAGTGATATGCTTTAAGAAGGAATACATTTTATTACTAGCTCTGTTTTAAAGCAGCACATAACAACATTTAATCCTATTTAAAGAATACCTACTGACTATAATGTTATCGTATGTCTAATAAAAACTGATATACTTTTTCAACTGTGTGATCACAAACAAACAGACGTAACACTTTGAGTAATTAAAATAAAACAGCAAAAAAGGTTATCTCCCATTTAATTCCACTTAATTCATTTGGTATCCATGACAGATACGTATTTCGACTACAATGTGCAGTCTTCATCAGTGTCATTCCCACTAAAGAACTTATCAAAATCTAACCCCAACTTAATTAATTTGGTATCTGGCATGGAGTTGTATAGATTTTTCTCCTTTAGTTTACTTAAATCTTTGGTTTTTATTAGTTAGGTAGGTTCCGATTCAACACATTGTAGTTTCATTTTTATACCTGTGATCTTGACTTTTTTACCTAGGGATGAGTACTTAAGGCGTTTAGATTTTGATAAGTTCTTTAGTGGGAATGACACTGATGAAGACTGCACATTGTAGTCGAAATACGTATCTGTCATGGATACCAAATTAATTAAGTGGAATTAAATGGAAGATAACCTTTTTTTCCATAATGAAGAGTTACATCTGTTTGTCTGTGGTGTGATGATTAATGTTCCGACATTCACTGCGGCTTTCGGATGAAGAACGTGTGTACCTCGTTAGGTGTTAAAAATGTTGATTTATTTTAAGTTCAGCGTGCAGTGATGAATGAGAGAACAGAAAGAGAGAGAGAGAGAGAGAGTGTATGGAGAAGGCATATTGAGCATATCGTTAGCACCCGTATTTCAAGGTTGATTGGGTCGCATCGGATATTGCCCTTTGCGCTGTGTATGCAATTTGGATGTGGGAATTTATATTTTCCCAGGTGATTGAAAATGCACTCGTAGTGAATGTGCAGTAATTTAATATTTTCTGATTAATTGAAAGTAGCTGATAGGTATAATTTTGTATGCTGCACCACCCCCCTTTAGAAAGAATGATGTAACATTGTGAATCATTCAAGAATAAAAGAAAATGTTGTCCAAATACCTTCTATGCATACATAATTTGTTATAATTTTCTTTTGTAATCTATGTGTTCATCAAGCTATTTTTATGTTATGTTGCGATTTTTATTGCTTTATTAATCTATTTTTATGTACTACCTGCTGTTTATTGGTATTAGAATCTAGGATGGTACAATTACATAGTCCAACTGCGGTTATTTTAAATGGTCCATTATAAAAAGGTTCTAATTTTCTGCGATTCTCATTCGATATGTATACACTTTCTCCTACCGTTAGATTAATTGGGTTTATTATTTTATTCAATTACTCTTGTCTTTTGTGTTTTGCCTGAATCAATCTTGATTTTACAATCTCATTTGATGTTTGCAGTTTATAACGGAGTTCTGTATAAAATTGCTCGATGTTATAAATATTGGATCTGTTTTCACTTTGTATATTTCCTGAGGTAAGTTTGCTTTACGTCCAAAAATTAGCTCAAAAAGAGAAAAAATTGTATCAACGTGCGGGGTTGTGTTGTATACGAACGCATAGAATCTAACTTATTCATCCCAGTACAACCACAGATGCCTAAATGAGTATCTGGTGATCATTCGTAAAGGATTTCAGATACTCATTTAGGCATCTGTGGTTCCCTTCTAAAGCACCAATTGACTGAGGATGATAAGCAGCTAAATACGTTCGTTTAAATTCTAGTAGCTTTCCTATCTGATTAAGAACCTCATTATTGTACTCAGTTCCCTAATCAGACCTGAGTTCTAGGAGGTTTCCATATATCAATATAAAGTTATCAACTAAAGCTTTTGATATTGTTATGGCTTCTTTATTGCATATGGGTATTATTACCACATATTTAGTCAAATCGCATGGTATCGTAATGCAATAGCGACTATTTTGGTTAGTTTTAGGTAGGGGTCCTACCGTATCGATAGATATCACGTCGAAGGGTTTAGAAGGGGTTGTTGTTACAACCGTAGCTTCCTTAGTATGTCTGGTTATTTTGTTTTTTTTTTCTGCACAGATCGCAATTTTTGACGAATCGTGCTATTGTCTCTTTCATACTTTTCCAAGAGTATAACTCTCTTAGTTTAAGGTATAATTTGTGCTGACCGATATGACCTCCGGTGGGGGTCGTATGGTGGTTATTTAGCATTTGTTGAATTCTTGAATTATCTTTTACTAGTTCAGGTGGGTTGTGTATGATTAGTTGAAAGGTTTTAATTGCAGTGTTTGCAATATCCTTTATTGTTTTTTATTTTTATTTAAGAGATTTTTAGCCATAGGCTAGTTCATCTCTTGAAATATCCTTTATTGTATTCAATGGAAATTTTTTGATAGCGCTATCTGATTTTTTTTAATATTTTTTTCATTATTTCGTTCATTTTTGAAAGCGCAGACCCTAGAGTCTGACTTCCATTATTTTTATATAATTTCATTATTATTTTCGCTAGCGTTTTTGTTTTGTTGCAATTTGTTATAATAAATGTCATTCCCTCCCCTTGGCTAGTTTTTGCACCTTGATGCTGGTGGGCGGGCTTAATTTCATGCTTTTTAGTGGAGTGTTGGAGACGGTAGGTTTATGGCCGGCGTTGCTGGCTCATGCCGCGATATAATGGCGCCATGGGCAGGCAATGGGGATTACTAAGCTTCCCCTCTCTGATAAACCACTGCATGAGAGAACCAAAGATCTAGTCTAGCAGTGATAGTATCACACTTGTTACTCCTTCGATTGAGAGCCGTGTCGTAGTACGCTTACGTATAGGCACTGACGTTGGGTGTGATACTGGCGGGTTTTGCCGCAAATCACTCTTAATTTATTTATTTTTACGCAGATAGATTTATTTAGGTTTGCAAGGGAATTATACTATTGAAATATTTCAGAAAGTGCCGAACGGTGCTCCTTCTATTTGCGTGACAAGCTTTCATTGTTGTTTTCATTGAAGTATTACTCAGGGAACAATGTTAAACACCATTTTTGTACATGGTATTGTAACTAATCTTATATGTGCTTCATTTTGATTTGGGATAAGTGTTTATTGTTTATTGTTGCCATACATCAACAGGCTGGCTGTAGCCCAAATGATGTTAATAATACTAATCATAATAATAATAATAGTAAAATTACATGTCAAATAATCACAGAATGGTGACTAATGAAATCTATGAGTAACTTACAAGCTGGGTGCAACATTCAGTTCAACCTGCGCAATATATGCACCACACAGGTGGACAGTCAACATTATTTTACGCCTATCAGGCTCAAAACTCAATACCACCTCAAACATTGCAACAACGTCAAATTCTAATGTTGATGCAACCTCAACAGCATCAACAAACGATTGCACCCCAAGCAACGAACATCCAACAACCGCAAATTTTTTTTAGGTACTGCGGACAAACTAAGCCAATTTTAACAGTGAACTTAACAGCTTCTAATTTCATTAAAGTTCACGTTAAAATGGCAAATGAAATATGTATGTACCCTTATAGCTGATAGCGGAGAAGACGTTTCAATTTTTAAATTAAACAAGATTGCTCCAAAACAAATTGTTAATAGTGCAAATATAATAAAACTCACTAGAATTACTGAAAATTCATAAGAAACATTAGCTACAACAGATACTTAACTGTAAATCATACGTTTCATATTGTTGCATCAAATTTTCCTATCGAAACCGATGGCATTTTAGGCCGAGATTTCATGGCGAAACACAAAATAACCTAGAAAGAGTTTTTAACAGATTAAGACATTATAATTTAAAACTTAACCCTGAAAAATGTTAATTTTCCAGAACGGAGGTGACTTATTTAGGACACAAGATTACAGATTCAGGAGGTTAGATAAAGTACTCAATTTAGCTCGGATTTCGGTCAGGAAATACGAGGAGTGCTTCATCGGCCTCATTGATCGAATAGCCTCCAACGAGCTAAGGCTATCTGTAAAAATAAAATAGTGATCAGATGGTAGTGAGGCAATTTGCTCTACTGCGTAGAATATGGCTGCTAATTCCGCAATGTATACGGAACAGGGTTTTTGCAGTTGATATGAGGCGCTATGAAATTCGTTGAATACTCCAAATCCAGTGGAAGCGTTTATAGTTGACCCATCTGTGAAAAAAACTCTTATTGTTACTGACATGGTGGTACTTGTTTGCAAAAATTAAGGGAACAACCATCGACCGATGGTGATCTGGTATTCCACGGATTTCTTGCAACATGGCCGGTTAAAAATTTACAGAGGAACTGTAAAAGTCTTGGAGGCAAACACGAGTGGAATTGAATGAAGAAGGGCTAATCTCCAGCGTCATGTACTCGTAATAGAGACTCATGAATCTTGTTTGAGGATTTCTGTCGAGCAGCTTCTCAAAGTTTTCTATTACCAATGGGTTCATTACTTCGCAACGGCTAAGAAACCGGAAGGACAGTTCCGCGAAACGATCTGTCAGTGGGAGAACACCCGCGAGTACTTCGAGGCTCATCGTATGCGTCGAGTGCATACAGCCAAGCGCGATTCGGAGGCAACGGTATTGAACCCGTTGCAGCTTCAAGATATGTGTTTTCGCCGCGGATTGAAAGCAGAAGCTACCGTACTCTAGAACCGACAAGATGGTTGTTCGATACAACCTGATCAGGGTGTGCTCCCCACCAAGTTCCAGTAATTGTACGAAGAAAATTGATTCTTTGTTGGCATTTTTGTTTCAGATACGCAATATGTTTTCCCCACGTGCAAATGCATCAGAAAGTGAGTTGTTAACTAAAAATTTGAATGTGTCAAGTTTTGGCATAAGACTTCTACAGTTCCATTGAAGAACAGAGATCATATCCCCGACCTCATTCGGAGAATTATCCATCAAAGGATATACTCGATGCAAGGAAGGACCACCTAGAAGGTAGTTACTTCAAAAGAGTTTTGACCATTGGCAGCACTAAATTAATAATGCTCCTCGTTGAGTCAGAGATATTGAATATACTGAAGAAGCTATCCACAATACCAGAAAACGTGAACATGGGAGCATGTTCTTGC